CGGCCAAAATAGGAGACACGGCCTTTAATTGAATACCGGCCTGTATTAGAGGATTTACGGTGTGTATATATATATATATATATATATATATATATATATATGGGTGTGTGTGTGTGTGTGTGTGTAAGACAGCAGAGTGGGAGATATAGATCTATCTTACTTTTATTGGTGTGTACTTCACCTTTTGTTTGATCACAGTTTTGCTGGCCTGGCATTCCACACACTGACTCACCTGAGAGGAAGTTTTCAAGATAACACTAAATTACGTACGTTTTTGAAATGAATTAAAACTCAATGTGATTTCAGTTGATTGATATTTACAGATTTATTTCAACCTTACATAGCTCTGATAAGACATCAAGAATGTAACTGAACGCTGACCCACAATGTTATGTCTTCAGACATTCCAGGCCAATAAAACCTTTTAGAGATTGCCTCTCTGGTCTTTTTTTGCCCACAATGAGCTCCCCCTGCTGGCAGCATAACAATCGAGGAAAATTTCGTTGGCTTGCTGTTGGCCAACCAACACTTTTGCTTTTAAGGTATTTGGTTTGCCAGCATGTCGAACATAGAACAATTCTCCATCTGTGATAGGCGATAAAAATTATAATTAACAATATAAAACTTTATACTCATTCATCACATATAATAAGAAAATTTCACATAACATTTATAAAACATATATCAATGTTGCATTTGGCATGCTTCGAAAGAGCCTGGGTAAAAACATTCCATGCTATTTGATAAACAGCATTCAATATGCATCACACAAATACACTTGAAGTTACTGGTCCATAAACAGATTTTTTCTAAAGAGTAAAACAGGAATACTTTTATTAACAACATTAAATAGGTAGGTATATGTTCTGTAATTCCATGTGAGTTTCAAAAAAAGTACAATATGGATCAAAATGAAGGAACACAAATAAGTTTTTTCTTGATTTGATACTTTACACTGCATTGTTGTTTTCATGGAGAAAAAAAACACTGTACTCATGACTGACCTTTTTAAACATTCTTAGTATGGAGCATGTACATTAGACCTACATACTCTGTCTACAAGAAGAGTCCACCAAACCGCTGATTGTCTCTTTCACTGTTGTCCATAGTTTTTCAAGCAAAAATATTTAAAGTTCGATTTTTTTTACATAACTGATTGCACAGTGCAACTTGTAACACTACCCCGTAGGATATCAAATCATATTGCCAATACAAAGGGTGTAGGATATTTTCCCGGAATGAGGGGACCAGAGACTGACAGTGAAGAAATGTAGCATAATTCCTGTCACATTGTGTAGCATGCTAAATAGATCCAAAATATACTCAGCAATATATGGTGGTGAAAATGATTTTAGAGTTGGTTGTAGGGTCTAGAAGTAATAGTGAATAAGCTACACTACAACTGACATCAAAAAAAGTTAAAATAAATAAATAATAAATAGTTCATAAAGATAACCCTGTTAAGTATACGTAAAGCCAACTTATACATTCTACAACCTGGTCAAAAAAAAATTAAAACATAGCAGACTATGCGGTTGTGTAATGAGCAGAAAAACTGGTTATCAAACCAATAAACCGACCTTGGACCTCAAAACTCTTGGCTTTTCGACGAAAGTTGGACTTCTGTGAAAGAAAAAGATATATTCCTTCATTTTTGAAAGCCAAAATTTGACTATGCAAGGTTGCATCCATCTTGCAAGGCGTGTTGAAGATATCACACTGCGAAATGCGCCGAAAGTTGATGCAACTAACCAACTTGCCTACTAATTAATGCTATTGGCCAATGAGCTGTGAGCAAAGGCAAGCTTATTGCCTTGAAAAAATTCAACCTAACATAATAACAAATCTTTAAACAAAAACAAAAGAAAGTAAAAAATATATATACATAAGCTCAAAAAAGTTAGTTTTTTTTGTTGCCATTTTTAGGGTGTTTATGATTGTGGAAGAGACTCAGCATCCTGTGATGAGACTAATAACATCAAGAGATAATAAATAAAGTAATACTTAGCTCAATTTAACCCTTTACAGGTGACCAGGACCCTGTAATTAATTTTTGGCTTGGGAAATTATCATTTGTTGCCATTTTTGGGGTGTTTGTGATTGTGGAAGATACCCAGCATCCTGTGATGGGACTAATAACATCAAGAGATGATATTTAGGTAAATTTAACCCTTTACAGGTGACCAGAATACTGTAATCAATTTTTGGCAAGGGAAATTATCTTTTTTTTGTTGCCATTTTTAGGGTGTTTATGATGATACAGTACAATATGAGTACAATAACATCAACAGATAATACATAAAACCCTTATGTGGTCAATGTTAGCCTCCATGAAAAAGTGAGCGATTCAATCACTTTTTGGCAAGTTAAATGCCATTTTTGTTGTCTACAGTTAAATCATCAATAAAGAATTGAAAGATATTTTGAGGCGTTTCTTATAGGTAAACAGGTGGTTATAGTCACTATTTGGCAAGTGACAATCCTAATTTTATGTGCTGAAGTGCTTTTATCTTGTTACTTTTAAACAGAGCAAAGTAATGTATAGATAGTAACCTACACAGTGTCATTGTAAAGCCAAAGCTTGATCAGTTTAAATACTATTTTTCAAGTAAAAATGTGCCCCAAACTAGTTAACTGTGGCTCCATGTCAAGTGGACTAAAGAAAGGAAGGGGAAAAAGTCAAATCGCTGGAGAATTGTTTATTTCCATTTATACAACGTTTGACTTTACATTCAATACAGGGTGCCATTTTACATAGTTTTTTTTATTTTTTTGTATCAAGGCTGTAACATAAAGAAAGCCAGTTGTTACCACAAACCATCTTTCAATCGCAAATATTGCAAAAAGGATTAATATATCCTCATTGGGAACGTTTAAGACAAATAGCAACACTTAAAATAACTTCCGAACTGGAAAAAACTAATATCTGCGATAAACATCTGTTTAAGTACCGGATGAGGTTATCTCTGCTTTCTCAATGTCCATATTGCTAGATATGCCGAGTTTTAAGGCGCAATACCGGGGGAACTGAATTTCATCCAGAAATGCAGTTACCCTAACCATGCGCGTTCCCGCAGTGGCAAATGATTTTTTGGCACAACATCGGTGTCGGTACAAGATCTGTTCAGGTGCAAAATCGGCTGCCGATGACGTCAAAGTACGGCAAACCCACTCGGACAAAATACACTACACATCTATACTGTTGGAAAGAATTTAGCAGTTTCGTTATTAAAATAATGTTTTTTAAGACGTGTGTGTTTATAATGGTATTTGTAAAATAAAACACTATATTTTATTCATAATGATGAACTCCTCTTTGAGCACATCCCCTGAAGGATCATAGGTATTAGCAACACCTGTGAAATTGTATTTGCAGGAAAGAAGTGTGTCCCGTTTATTGAAGTATTTTGTGTTTAGAGTTTTTGACGTCTTGTCCATGCGTATTTCAGTTACGCTCATAGCTGCTAGCTAAAACTCTGGAGTTAAAAGTTTTCTGGCTTTACTAAAATACCTGTCTGTACTTATTTGATTGATGGTAGTTTTACTTTCTATTAGACTCCAAATGTAATCATTTGGCACGTTTCTAATTCATAATTTGTAAGAATGTAATCGGTGATATTAGCATTAGCATTCCTATGGGTTTTTCCATGTATATTAGCATTGCGCTAACCACTCGCTGCCAAATTGCAGCCTTTGCGATTAGAAAATCTCCTTTTGTCACATCGCAATTTAATTGCACATGCAGTTAATCGTTCAGCCCTAATATACATGCAGCTCTATGCTAAAAGTGTATTTTCAAAGAGGTAATGATGGATTTCTTTGTAAAAGTTGTCCATCTCTCCAACAGAAAGATTTGCCTGGACCAATGTAATGTGATAACAACGTAACGTGATTACGTAATTCCGTAAGGTTCATGTTCAGCCAATCAACTACTTTGACGTCATCGGCAGTCGACGGACCCCGAGCCGATTTTGCACCCTAGCAGATCTTGTACCGACACCGGCAGCAGACGCTGGAAAAAACACAAAGGAGGGAGCACTTCGACTCCACGCTAACGCCGCAAAGCTTCATGGGAGTTGTAGTTTTTGCGGTAAAATCGGCCAACAGGTCAGTTTTAATATATATTTGATATTTATCTCACGGGCACATAAAAATGCTCCATGGGCCTTGCGTCTGACACGTGGTTTAGAGAGAAGTGAGGACACAGAACTTCTTCCCAGCTGCAGCAGGTCTGACTACTTTCAGAAACTACTGTTAGGATAAAGTTATTCCGTCTGGAGCTTTCAGCGCTGCACAAATGTTACATAAATAATACAGCATATCTCAACTTTTCTAAAGCTTACGGTGCCACCGGGCAGCAGCAGAGACGATCTCTGAAAATGTCCGGGACACGGACTTCGTAGTTTTCAGGTAGTTTATTTTTTACAAGTTAAGAAAAGAGGCGGGCATGTGTCCTAAATCCTGTATCAGTCGAAGCAAGGCAATTTCTTTCCGTTTTTATTCCATTTTAGTAGCTATTACCAGAGCACCCTGTTCTGTGCGTTAGTGATATTCGGTCTACGAGGAAATCATGCAATGACAAAGGTTTTGCCTTGCTTGAAATGCAAGCTGTGATTAAATGCATGAGTTTTTTTACCGTGTCATTTTTTTCTAATTAATTAATCATAATTAACACGTTAAAGTCCCATGACTAGTTTAATTATATAGCGACAAGAGTCGTCTCAAGGCACTTCACAATGTGAACATTTGAAATGAACTCAGATCATTATACCAGTTAGTTAAAAGTTTCCTATATAAGAAACCCAGCAGATTGCATCGAGTCACTGACTAGTGTCAGAGTCTTTACAGCAATCCTCATACTAAGCAAGCTTGTAGCGACAGTGGAGAGGAAAACTCCCTTTTAACAGGAAGAAACCTCCAGAGGATCCTGGCTCAGTATAAGCAGCCATCCACCATGACTCACTGGGAATGGAGAAGACAGAGCACACACACACGCACACACACACACACACACACACACACACACACACACACCAAGTAGTGTTTCTATGGTTACATTGTGATTTCTTAGTAAATATTCTATTTGGTGAGGGATAAACTTTATTGTATTTATCCTAGTGAATCTATAAATAAACGGGCAGACTAGTAGTAGCACATTCAATGTCAAGGAAAGTAAGTGTAAGTAAGTGTTATTACAGTTTTAGTCCATTGCTTGAACACACTTTGCAAAACTTGGCTCACGGTGCCAAAACTCCACACACAAGGAAGTACGGAAGAACACTGGGAAATAAACCATTCACATCTATGCCAGATACAAACTCTGCCATCAAAACTGAACAATCCTTTGTCAAAACCTCACTTTGATGACTAAATGATGCCCACTTCCACATGTCAATACACTCTCATATCTGCGGCAACACACTAGTCTACTTTATATAAAACACTGCAGTCTTTCACTTGTACTTTATTTATTCAGTTACAATTCCAGATGTTTCTCATAATTCCAAAAATAAAATACTGAAATCAACATTACTGTAATTACATTACAGTAGTGAAATTCATATGACAGGAAATTCAGTTACTGTAAAGCAAAAATAAAACAAACTGAACTTCACACAAAAGAAGTTACATGTATGGATCCTGCCGTCTGTTGGGGTCGGGCCACAGGACCTCGTCCACATCGCAAGCAATATCTTCTCCGGCTAAACATCGGGGAAAAAATCCCCTTGTGTGTCTAATCCATCCCTGAATTGACCTGATTTCAATATCTCCGCAGGCCTGTTCCATTGCTTGTGAAAGTGGCATTCGGGCGTGGGGTTGGCGGTCATATACGCGCCATCTCCATGCTGAAAAGAACTCCTCTATAGGATTCAAAAATGGGGAGTAAGGGGGCAAGTACACCACTTCAAATCCTTCATGATGAGTAAACCAGTCTTGGACCAGAGCAGCCCGGTGGAAACTAACATTACCCCACACAACAACAAACCTGGGCTGCTCTGGTCTATTCTGTATGACGATGTCATGTAGACCATCAAGAAATGTGAGTATTTCCTGTGAATTGTAGGGCCCCAATTTGGCATGACGGTGCAGTAGCCCTTGAAGGCTAATGGCAGCACACAATGTAATATTTCCTCCACGTTGCCCAGGGACGTGCACAATTGCCCTTCGGCCAATAAGATTACGCCCCCGTCGTCTGTTTTTTGTCAGATTGAATCCAGCCTCATCAATGTAAATACACTCATGAGGCTGAGCAGCTCCATCCATGGCGAGCATTCTCTGCAAGAAAAAGTACATATTACTGTACTGTACAGTACTGTATGGATGGCATTACTCAAAGTACACAACTACACTGATACAGAATTGAACCACCTCATCACACAGGGGCCGGTTTAGCTTTCTGAATATACAGTGTCAATGTGGTACTGATCCAATGGTACAGACTCAGCTATTTGACTGCTCCTCTTTTGTATTGTAAATGTAGAGGACTGAAACACTTACCTGTACGTATTCACGTCGAAGTTCCTTCACTCTGGCATTGTTCCTTTGAAATGGAACCCTGTACAGTTGTTTCATTGTAATATGGTGCTTTGTCAAGATGCGTCTAATGGTGGTAATGCATACTGTATTTATATTGCCAAAACTCTGTCTGTCTGCATTTATGTGACTCTGTAGCTGGTGGAGACGGATCGCATTATTTGCCCTGACCATGTCCACTAATGCAAGTTCTTGTTGTTCAGTAAATAGGCGTTGACGTCCACCGCCAGTGGGTCTTCTGATCATTCTGTAGAAAACAATGCAACCAGTATTTGGAATTGTTTTGTTCTATTTTTCAGTACTATACAAACTGTATTTTACTGTATTTACTGTACTTGTATTACAGTACTGTAAAATATCTCTAGACATGATTATATGTGTCACAACACAAGGAGCCACCCTTCAGTACCGTACTGGTGTAACAGTACATGTACGTTACAAATACATGTAAGATGAGGCAGTACTGTAAATACTCAAGCTACATTACTGTAGTAGAGGAATTGAAGACACACCTGTTTTCCTGTCTGAATGTCCTTATGATGGATGCGACCGTGAAACGGCTAAGATTAGGGTGGACTCTCTGTCCAGCTTCCCTCATGGTCAGACCATGGTTTATGACATGGTCCACCACAGTTGCCCTAATGTCATCAGAAATTATGGTCCTTGCACGGCCTCTTCGTCTCCTCTTGCTCTGCCTCTAGCCCCCCCCCCCCCCCCCCCCCCCCCCCCCCCCATGCTGGCAAGTTCTCCAAAATGGCTTAGCTAAGGCCTCTTTGTAGCTGACTGATTGGTGTTCAGTTTTGTTAGTAATTGTTTTCAGGTGTGTGTCTAATTGTTTTCAATGACACACTGTGTTTTGTATTTTGAATAGCTGTGTTTTCCCAATGGTACTGCGAGATTTACTTTTTGAACAAAGTGTATGTATGTATGTATGAAATAGTGTGTTGAGAGCAGGAGCAAGTGTGTTGTAGAAAGGAGCTAGTGTTTTGCAGAATTGCAACCAAAGTGCAAAGCAGCACTTTTGTCTAAGGTATGGTTACACTTTGTTTAAGGTAGAGCCACAACAACTTCAGGTTGAGTTCCTTTGGTTGTAGCATCTGTCAATCGTGTTTAAGCAAATGGCTAAAACTGTATCAGGAGAGGGAGAATGTTTAAGTGCTTAGCAGCAAAAATAAAGTCAACAGCTGAAATTGCAGGAAATAATGCAGTTAAAGAGCAGATTGTAGAAGAAAGTAATAGAGTGTGGAAAGTGCTCAGGATGTCCTCCAGCAGTCTAAGCCTATAGCAGCATAACTACAGAGATAACACTGGATAACCTAGCCTTTTTAGATGGAGGCATGTTGGAGGCAGGGCAAGGGAGAGCCGTCTTTACCGACTGTACTCTCCACCTCCCTCTTCCCCCCCACTTGTCCAGATCCAGGCTAACAACAGATTTTAACCATAGGCCCTATCAAATAAAAATATTTTGAGCCTAGTCTTAAAAGTAGACAAAGTGTCTGCCTCACGGACTAAAGCTGGAAGCTGGTTCCACAGGAGAGGAGCCTGATAACTAAAAGATCTGCCTCCCATCATATTATTAGATATTCTGGGAACCACCAGTAGACCTGCAGTCTGAGAGCGAAGTGCTCGGTTAGGAACGTATGGAACAATCAGATCACTGATGTATGATGGAGCTTGATTATTAAGAGCTTTATATGTGAGAAGAAGGATCTTAAAATCTATTCTGAATTTAACAGGTAGCCAATGTAGGGAAGCTAAGACAGGAGAGATATGATCTCTCTTTTTAATTCTCATCAGAACTCTAGCTGCAGCATTTTGGACAAGCTGAAGACTTTTAACTACATTCTGTGGACTTCCTGAGAGTAATGTATTACAGTAATCCAGTCTTGATGTAATAAATGCATGAACTAGTTTTTCAGCATCACTCCTGGAAAGGATGCTTCTAATCTTAGCAATATTCCGAAGGTGGAAAAAGGAAATCCTACAAACCTGTTTAACTTGGGATTTGAATCACATGAACTAAATGCTGCAAGAATACACTAACAGATAACAAAGTCAAACATAGGAATGGACTAAGGGAACAGAACATGAATAAATTAGAAAACATAACTACAACTGAACTAGAAAGCTGGGAAAATAACCTAAACCATGAACAGGGACTGACTGAAGATAATACAGGACTGGGACAGGGGAGTGGCTAGAAGTGACTGCAGCTGGAGATGAATAAGAAGGATGAATAAGTGAATCTATGGGGGAACATGGGGTCAGGCATGAAGGACACATGAGGAGCAGAGCTAAAATGAATGCTGGGGAGACAAGGGAGAGGGAACATGAAAAGGACATAAATTGACGTGGACAGGAGACAGGACATAGGACATGACACACAGGGCTGATCCCATTTCAGCAGGCTGAATTCTCAACAAGCTGACCATCATATACTGTACGTGACCCTGGAGATCCAACAGATTAGAGCTGGATCCGATGTGATCCCACACGTTTAATCTAGCCTAGCTGTCAATAGGTGATGAAGGCACTCTGTTGACCTTGTGTGGTTGAGAGAAATGGGGACACAGGAGTTACTTGTGTTGTTCTTTTCTGTTAAGAACCACAGTGGATATCATTGCTGCCCAAAATGTACTAAATTACTTATTAATCCTTCTGCGTGTTAACCGCATTATACTGAGTGTGTTAGAGGTTGAGTAGTAGCAGGGTGTCAGTAGAGAGAAATCAGAACGAGCTCTTCTGTTGGAATTAATTCCAATCTTTATTTCTTTTCTTTCCATTCCTGCCATCGTTGTTGTTTCTGCACATTCAGAAGACAATCAAGGTGAGTTATTTGTTCACAAGTCGAGCGCTGTCTCTGTGCTGTCTCTCAATGTAAGAACACTTGCAGGTTGACACTGTTGTTAGGCCTCAGACCTTTTCTGACTGAATTAGTCATTTTGCTTGAGAACAATGTCACCAGCAATTTTTTCTACTGTTGTTGTTTCTTCACTTCAGAGCATTATGAAACCACCCCAAGCTTGAGACCTGAGAAGGAGGAAACAGCTGAGGTTTGTTGCAGTACTTTATCCAATCCCAAGCTGTTTGATAGGAAGGAACTGGTCCAAAAAGTTAGACTGACACAAAGGGGAAAATCGATCGTGTACTTCCTCTCCAAAATGTAGCATATTTATGTCATCATTTTCTGTTTGCAGCAGTCAGGTTATGTGCAGCTGCACTGACCTGTGTAATCTTTGTGAATAAAGCCATTTTTACACCAACAATGCCATCAGTTTGGCATCAGGGAGCCTTAGGTCATTTATAAATGGTCATATCATGGCGGTAATGTTTCACCAAAGATAATGCAATGGCGGTATAAAAAGGGTATGGGGACGGTCCCTGCGCCACCACGTACTTCTTTATCTTGGACATAATTTGCTTTTTATTGCCATCGAGGACACAATCGTTAGGTTTTTTTAACAAGCCGCTTTTAAAGGTGTCTGTCACCGCCAGTCCCCGTGCAGTCCCTGGTGATCTGGGCTCCGGTGCTAACTGAGAGACGCACTGCATGGCTCCAGTTTGATCAGCTGGTTCTGTTTACAAAAGCAGAACTTGCGGCCCGTGTTTACTTTCATTTCAACATATTACCCCACGTGATCATGACACCTCCCTCCGTTGCACCAGGGCGTAATTGCCATTTATAAGACAGCCAATTATCACAATATTACTACCAAGCGCAGCAAAACGAATGCCTCAAAATGTGCTCAATGCCATGCTGGCATGGCGCGTTTATAAGGCTGATTTGCTGGCACGGTGTG